GCCAGAAAGACAGAGAGAGACAGAAAGACAGAAAGCGAGAAATCACTCCCCAGGGGGGATGGCCACGCCGCAATCCCTTCTCCTCCATTCTCCTCTCGGGATCTTGGGCATGCATGCACACGCGCCCGGCGTGAGTTCAAGCCACCGGGTCCAGGACTTGAACCGTGGTCAACTACGTGGGAGTCCAGCGACATAGCCATTACGCCAACTTCTGGTCCCCCACTCTCTCTCGAAAGAAAGAGTATGTGATACACTTTGTAAATGTCAGGTCTGTTCTGTTTTGTGGTCTGAAAACTTCTGAAATTGTTTATAGTCAAAGAAAAGGCTGGTGGTCAGATGAAGCAAAATCCCAGTTGGTAACTCAGTTACTTCAGGAAGATAGCTTCCAGTCTGCCTTGTGCCCAGTTGAGTCAGGAGCGTTGGAAGAAGTCGGGAACTGTTACAAAATGCAAGGAAGGGCAGGCGCCTCTCACGGACAAGTGTATCAGAGAGCGGGAGCTGGGGCCCACGCTGGCCTTGCCTGCTGGCCTTGCCTGCCCGCCTTCATTTCAAGGACCGTGTCTTGCATCTTGTCCAGAGGTGGGCTCTGAGGAGGCGGTGAGGCCCTGCTCTGTTTGCTCAGCTGTGGTGTGAGGTTCCCTAAGGGGATCCCCTCGCTGTGCTGACCGTGCCATCAGCATCAGAAAGGTCAACATCCCCGGGCCTGTCCAGTGTTAACAGAGACAAGGAGCTGGTGCTCTCTCCGCCCAGCTGTACCATCCAGCGCAGTCTCTTGGCCAAGTTCACCGGGTGTTCCAGGGAACCCATTGCGTTGAGGCCGCCGAGCCGGGATGTATTGCGTTGTTGTTTTGGTTGGTTTGTTGTCGGTTTTTTTCCCAGTGGACAAGTCTGTCTGGTCCTTTCCTCCTAGAGCTCATAGATTTTAGCCGAGGCTGAAATGGCCAAGTCCAGGAATGTCTCCAGACCGAGACAGCCCAGGGCCTGCGTCCCCACAGGACTCACACAGTGGCTCCAACTAGCCCGCTCTGCCCCCCCCTGCCACCCCCGT